CCCCCCCCCCCCCCACACACACACATTACAAATGATTCTGACGCCAATGGCCACCGCATTGTTCAAGCCAAGAGCCATTGTCAACGCTGGGGATTAAGCACCCCTAAAGGGCAGATTTTGGATTGCCATTGATGTAAGGTTATAAATACATGATTTTAATAATATTAGGTTGTGATCTGAAGCGGGCCACTCTGAGGCGTGAAACTTGCGGGCTGAAAATGAGTCCCACTCCAGCCCTGCTGTTTACCATCAGCTTACCTTGGTGTTGCGGTCGAACGTCTCTTTTAGCTGCAGGTGTTTTCCACTCTTGCTGGCGAGGTCCATCCACTTCCCTTTGAACCATTTAATGCTGGGTTTCTTCAGCAGAGATTCAGCATTTACTTTAGCAACAAAGGTGATGTTTTCACCTGCAACAAATAAATACATTTTTTCTTCCGTATTTTAAGAAAATGCTGCAGTATAACAATAATATGCAACAGCATTACAATATTTTATCAATTCAGTTTCATGCTTTTGTGTGATTGAAATTAAAGCTTTGAGGTCTTTATTACTTACTGCTAAGAGATTACAGGGTAAATTTTGTGTACATAGATTTGTTAAAGATTTTACCAGCAATTATTACCCATTATATTGGCTATTCCATTTCACGTTCTCTTTAATATGTATATATATATATATATATATATATATATATATATATATATATATATATGTGTGTGTGTGTTTATATATATATATATTTATATTTTGGAGTTTCCTTGATCCTGTTTTTTTTTTTTTAGCTCAGTTTAAGTGTAGAAACATTGTGAAGTGTTTCAATGAACTTATCATCATCGCTCAATTTTTTTTTCTTTTAAAGAAAGAGAAGAAAGAAGAATAAATAAATAAATAAATAAATAAAACAGAAATAGATAAAACGAGAGACCACCACGACAAAACAACATGCACAGCACAATGCCACCCACAATATCACCATGAAACATTCGACATCGCACAAGGAATCATCTAGCTTCCACCACTACCCAACCCAGCGTGCATCTGTCAAAGCACCTGAATCCAAACACCCACGCAAGCATGCCCGCCACCACCAGATTTCTCCAAAAGAATGCCCAATAGTGCACGCGGGGGCCCACAGACCCGCCCCCCCAGGACACAATGGCAACATAGGGAGGACCGGAGCCACAGACACACAGCGGCCCACAGGCCCGGAGCCCCAGGAGTCTCCCAACAGGGAGAACCACACCCCCCAGAGAGGAGCAGAGGAAAGAAACGGGTGACCCCAGCCACCACAATGCAGAGCCTCCAGGAAGCTGCAGCGACGAGCCCACAGGTCCGGCCGGCAACCCATGCCCCCCCCCCCAAGTAGATCTGGCCATGGACACCGAGCCCAAGCCCCGAGGCCATACCACCCCCCAGCAGAACCCCGACAGAGCCAGGGCACCCAGGCCCCGCCAGGCAGCAACCAGGGCGGACCGACGTACACCCCACCACCCAGCCCAGACGCCGAGAGCCACCAATGCACCGGCGGCAAGGGGGCCCCCCGCCAAAGGGGGGCACGACCGGGGGGAGTGGGCCCCACACCAAACGTGGGGCCCAAATTGATCCAAGAGAGGGGGGACCACCAAAAACCCAACCTGAACAACCAACAGGCACACACAGATAGCCCAACAGAATTTCTGTCGGGCCGACCACATGCACCATCTACCTGACAGCGACCACAGGCCGGCCCCAGCCCAAGGGGCAGAGCAGCAGGGAGCTGCAGCTGAGGAGGGCCGGCTCTCACATCAAGAGCTCCGCACCATAGGCCCGGAGACGCCCCAGCACGCCACCTACGCACCCCCCCCCCCCGCCTACAACACCCCCCCCGCAAATGCCACACAGGAAGACCAGCCAGTGCCCTGATGAGGCGAAGCCACGCCCCCAACCGCCGCCCTACACCACCAATGACCACACGTACACTGCCATAGCCGACCCCCCGCCGAAAGTCGGCAGCCATCCCGGTCAAAGTGCCGGCCATCGCAACCAGGAACCTAGATTAAAAGAATCGGAACAGCCCAGGAGGAACCGAAGCACCGGCCCCATCACTAACCGCCCCCAAGGCCCAAAGCCCACCCACAGCCCAGACCCCAACAATGCGCGCGCTAGTTCGAGCCAAGAGACTCCGCAGTCTCCACAGTCTCTGCAGTCTCTGCAGTCTCCTCTCTGATGGCAGTAGGCTGAAGAAGCTGTGTAGTGGATGTAAAGTATCACCCGCCATGCAAAGGGATTTCCGAGTAAGGCGGGTACTGTGTAAGTCATGTAGAGAGGGGAAGGAGGTGTTGACGATCTTCTCGGATGCTCTCACGATGCGCTGGAGGGTCTTGCAGCAGGATGTAGTACATGCACCGAACGAACCACACTGTGATACACCTGGTCAGGACACCCTTGATGGCACCCCTGTAGAAGGTGCAAATGATGGGGGTTGGAACTCCAACTCTTCTCAGCTTGCGGAGAAAGTAGAGGCACTGGAGAGCCTTCTTGGCCAGTGATGCTGTGTTCCTGCTCTAGGACAGGTCCTCTGAGACGTACACTCCCAGGAACTTGATGCTGCTCACTCTCTCCCAGTAGTACCATTTATGGTCAGAGGAGCATGCTGGGTGTGCATCTTCCTGAAGTCCACAACAATCTACTTTGTCCTATCCACATTCACAGAGAGATTCTTGTGTCCACACCATAAGGCTAGGCGGCTCACCTCGTTCCTATAGTCTGTCTCATCATTATTGCTGATGAAACCCACCACAGTCATATTGTCTGCAAACTTGAAGAAGTAATTGGAGTGGTATGATGGTGTGCTGTCGTGTGTCAGCAGGGTGAATAGAAGGGAGCTCAGCACGCATCCTTGGGGGTCCCCTGTATTCAGCATGATGGTTCGGGATGTGTTAATGCTGATCCGTACTGCCTGTGGTCTCCCAGTCAGGAAGTCTTAACAGCCAGTTACACAATGAGGTGTTCAGCCCATGACTGTCCAGTTTAAGGATGGTTGGGGGATGATGGTGTTGAATGCTGAACTTAAGTCAATGAACAGCATTCTAACATAAGAGTCCTTAGTGTCCAAATGTGTGAGGGCTGTGCGGAGGGCAGAGAAGATGGCATTGTCGGTCGAATGATTGGGCCAATATGCAAACTGGAAAGGATCCAGGGAGGCAGGAAGGATGGATTTGATGTGTTTCATGACTAGCCATTTGAAGCACTTCATCAGAATGTGGGTGAGTGCCACTGAACGGTAGTCATTTAGGCAGGAGGGTGATTCCTTCTTTGGTACTGGGATGATGGTGGTAGCTTTGAAACAGGTGGGGACGATGGTCTGACTCAGTGAGACATTAAAGATATCCGTGAAGACAGCTGCAAGTTCCCCTGCACAGTCCCTCAGCACACGACCAGGTATGTTGTCAGGATCAGAAGCTTTTCAGTCGTTGATCTTAATGAATGATTTCCTTACATTGTCTGGGGACAGCGTCAGCACCTGATCATTGGGAGAGGGGAAGATGTTATGTGCAGGTGTGCTGTTATATGCCTCAAACCGAGCAAAGAAGTAATTCAGCTCATTCAGCATAAAGGTTGTGCTGTCACAGGTCTGTGCATCTGACTTGTAGTCTGTGATGATCTGTATTCCCCGCCACAGACTCTGTGTGTCCTTGCTGTCACTAAAGCAATGAACCATCTTCCTGGAATACTGCTTCTTGACCTTTCTGATACCCCATGACAGGTTGTTTCTGGCTGTCCTCTTGCCCACTTGATCTCCTGTTGTAAAGGCAGAATTCCTGACTCTCAAGAGTTGGTAGAATTCTGCTGTCAGCCATGGCTTCTGATTTGCCTGAACAGTGATGGTCTTGAGGTCAGTTGCATCGTCATTACACTTGGTGATGTATGAAAAGACATTACCTGAGCACTCTTGAAGACCTGTGGTGATGTTTTTGGTAGCAGCTTCTTTGAACATATTCCAATCTGTGGTGTTGAAACAGTCCTGAAGTGCTTCTGAAGATCCCTCCGGCCACACTCGTACCTGCTTCCAGGCTGGTTTGGTAACTTTAACCAGTGGTCTGTATGTTGGCATTAACATAACACTGATGTGATCAGAGGCGTCAATGTGGGAGAGGGGAAGGGCCTTGTAAGCTCCTTTCATGGTGGTGAAAACTTGGTCCAGTGTATAGACGGATTATTAGTCAACGTCACTTCCGGGTCACTTCCTGGTATATTGCGCATGTCTGGTGCAGTAAAAAAACGCGATCATGTCTTGTGCTCTAGGTTGCACCAACCGTTTTGATAAAAACAATAAAACGCGCAAGTTTTACAAAATTCCATCAACTCGCAGCCCTTTCAAGGCTAACAGGGGACATCTTTGGTTGCAAGCTATCGGAAGAAGCGATTGAAACGAGCAGATGATTAAAAATGCAACAATCTGCAGTGAGCACTTCATATCAGGTAAGGGCTGCCTATCTAACAAGCATTGCTGGTTATTGCATCCTATACACAAAAATTTGAACAATTGATCACTCATATACGGGTGTACGTAGCTTAAAAGCTAAGATATCTTAGTTCAGTGATGCTGAGTGGAGTTGCTAATCATTTGTTGTAACTGTTTAAAGTTGTATGCTAACACATGCTATGCCAGTTAGCGCTAGCCAACCGCGTGCGTTTTTCATTAACTTCAGTCACTGGAATACACTTTATGTGTACAGGAGTAGCATTTGAAGACATTGACAGTCCTGACTTTGTCACATCCATATTCTCCTACTCTACAAAGTCTGGCAAAGACAGTAATGGAAAATTGGAGCGGTAAATAGAGGGATTACTGACTTGAATTGAGGCTGTAATAAACCTGTGTTTAACAAAGTAAAGTGATGCTTTCCTGCTGTACCTAATGATTGCTCTCTTCTGTGTGTCTCAGCTACAAGAGAAAAAGACGAAGGGATGAAACCCCCAGCAGATGTCCAAACAATGGACCATATTGGCCATCGTCTTGAAAACTGTGTTTAGGGCTCACCAATCAGGATAATACGTTCAGATTTAATGCTACTGAATGTGACATTTCCAAAATTTTGAGAAGTTGGCTCCCTGTTATGTCTCAGACTTTTAAACCTCTAATCTATCTATTAGATGAAATTGTAATTGTGTGTGCAGCGTTAACAAACATTTGGGACTGTATAGTCCCTAGAAAATAAACTGTAAATATCTTGTTGAACTATTGAAGAGTTAAGGATACATCAACAACTTTTTATTTCTTGTCTGTACATAAGTAATGTCATTAAAAGGTAACAACAAAATAACCATTTATTTTTTAAACATGCACACAATGATTTGAAGGAAAAAGTTAAAACTGAATGTTAACAGGAAAAGTTGCAATAAATGATTTGTGTCAAAGTGGATTGTTTTGACCTTCTTTCTTTTACAATATTACTTTGTATGAATAACTGTTCATCTATGTGGAGGACTGTGTTCATCATTTGATCATCTCTGGCTGCACGAGTAATGGCTTTATCCTGCTGGGTCCAAATCACAAAGTCGCAGGACTGGACGTCACATGCTGTGAAGCTGAACTTGATAATAGTAATCATGGTTCTTCTTGAAATGTAACGAGCTGCACCTATTCATCTTTTCAACATCATGTAAAAAAATGTATAAAATAAAAAAAATAAAAATAACGCGCACAGAGGCGGGTCTGACCGTTTTCAGTGTGCTTCTCATAGATTTCTCGGTAAATCAAGTCCACATAATCTGTCACGGTTGTAACTTGCATTTTAATCAACAGCTCCTGGTAATAAATAAATAAATAAATATAAAACCACAAATAAGCAACAAATAAACCTTTTCTTGTGTGTGGGTTTTCTTACAGTTTCTGGGTTTTTTTGTGATTTTTTTTTTAATTGCCGAGCGAAAAATGTCTTTTTTTTTATATACAACTTGTCATGTTCACTTTAGCCTGGCTAATATCAGTCATCCACCAAGACATCGAGTGTATTTATAGTTTTTAATACCAAGAAATCTATCAGAAGAGCTGTGAAGATGGACGCCTCTGTTCACCATCTCGATACAGGGGAACAGAATTTTGCACAAGTCACCGGCTCTTTCTGCACTTCGGTTGCACACACATCTGCCATGTTCATAAACAAATAATCCGTCTTTGTTTCCTCTTGTTGGAAAGTGTATGTGTTTGTATGTCTTTGGAAACACGCTCCTTGGATCCGCATGGTTAAAATTGCAAGCCAAGATGAGAACAGCATCAGGGTGGACTATCTGCTGCTCAGTGATGTGCAGATACAGTTCATTTAGTGCCTCACTTCTATTTTTATTGTTGGTGCTTGGAGGTATATAAATAGCAACAATTATAACAGCTGTAATTTCCCTCGGTAAATAGAATGGTGGGCCTTTAATAACCATAAACTCCACTAAAAGTGAGCAGTGTTTGTAGACCACAGCAGCATCACGACACTGGGCATTATTGCTATAAACACAGAGCCCTCCGCTGCAGGTCTTACCGCCCTCAATAAGAGCTCTGTCCACTCGATAGCATGTTAGCCACTCGAGCTGAATAGCACGGTCCAGAACGTTGTTATTAAGCCATGTTTCTGTAAACACAAAAACACAACAGTCTCTCACAGTCTTCTGTGTTGCTCGTAGTAGGCGTATATAATCCAGTTTATTGTCCAAAGAACATACGTTAGCCAAAACCATGAATGAGATGGCTGGCTTGTGTGGGCTAGCCGCTAGCCTAGCTCGGATACCTCCGTGCTTACCCCGCTTCTGCTTCCACTGTGGGTGTGACGAAGGAGTGGGGGCCAGTGATGATACCGGCTTCCTGAGCAGGCCGCAGACACGTAGCTCTTCTTTGAGTTCACTACTTATTCCTAAAAGCGTGTTTTTTCTGACATCAAGCAGGAACTCACAGCTATAATTGTGTTTTAAAACATGTAGACATGACAAAGACATACAAGAACACTGCGACTCGCAGGACAACCCCCCCCCCCCCCCCGAAAACACTGTTTGTTAGGGAGAGAGAGAAGCCGCAGTGTGTGCACGTGCCGCCAGTCACTAATAATCATAATCATTAACATTAAAAGAAATAAACATTTGAATATATCAGTCTGTGTGTAATGAATGAATATAATATACAAGTTTTACTTTTTAAATGGAATTACTGAAATAAATCAACTTTTTCATGATATTCTATTTTTATGACCAGCACCTGTAGAATTGGCTCCAGTGGATACATTTCAAGAATTTTATTGTGAAGTCACTCACCTACAGTGACTTCTCCACTTTGAGGTTTCTCTGTGAAGAGTCCAGTCAGGTCCTGTCTGGTGTCTGGAGAGTGTTTGTCTAAAAATACAGCAGATTATGTGATGTCAACAACAATAAAATAGAGCACATTTAACCCAACACTCATGGCCTTAGAGCTGAGGAGAAAATTTCAAGATTACCAAGTTTAAACAAATATCTTGCATTCCTTCCTTCCCCACCAGAGAGGTTATGTTCCATGTCCCAAGAGCCAGCTTTGGTAAGTCAGGGTCAGAGCACCAAGGCTCCCTCCTTCGGTTACTCCCCAAGGAGTCATGCACCCGACTTGTATGGGCCCTCCTGCAGGTGGTATGCCCACAGAAAGGCAAAAACATGTTATTCCTTTAGGTTGAGCCTGACTGGATCCTATGTGTAGAGACCTGGTCACCAGGCGATCTCTGACGAGCATTCCCTCAGGCCTGGGTCCAGGGTGGGGCCCTGGTATCCCACATCTGTGCAATAACCGAACATATTCTGAAATCCAAGCCCTCTACTTGTTCTCTGGATCCTCTCCCAGCAGTGCTTGTAAAATCTTGCCTTTTTTCACTTCTCCCTATCATTTCTGCCATTATTCATTCTTCTCTTTCTTCAGGAACTGTACCAACTATTTTCAAAACTGCAGTTGTCACTCTGATCCTTAAGAAGCCTGGATTGGTTCCAAATATTTTCAATAATCTTCGCCCTATTTCTAACCTTCCATTCATTTATAAAATTCTTGAAAAAACAGTCGCTTCTCAACTCCACTTCCATTTAACCAAAAATAGTCTATAAGAACAGGATTATTGAGCATGCATCAGGATAGTTCCAGTCTAGTTTCCACCCCGGTCACAGCACAGAATCTGCTCTCCTTAGAATCACTAACACTCTTCCATGGCAGCAGATTCTGGTTTAATTTCTTTTCTCATCCTCCTCGATCGCAGTGTGACATTTGATATCATCTCCTACAACATCCTCCTCCGCAGTCTTTCATCCATTGGCCTCACCCATACACCCCTCGCTCGGTTTCAGTCATCTCTCTCTGGCTGCACTCAGTTCATCCAACTTAAATCATTCAGATCCCACTCCTCCCCCGTGACTTCAGGTGTGCCCCAAGGCTCTGTCCTGGGGCCCCTTCTTTTCATCATCTATACCTTCTCCCCCTTGGCAATATCTTCCGTAAATTTAACATTCACTTCCACTGTTTTGGTGACGACACTCAGCTCTTCTTATCCACTGCACCTAATTCTTCACTTCCTCTTTCCTACCTCACTTCCTGCTTAGCTGAAATTAAAGTTTACATCTAACTTCCTTAAATTAAACAGTGATAAAACAGAGCTTCTACTCATCGGCACTAAATCCACCATATCTAAAGTCGACAGTTTTTCTCTCACCATTGACAGCTCCGTGGTTTCTCCCTCCCCTCACGTTAAGAGTCTGGGTGTCATTCTTGACAGCACTCTCTCTTTTCACTCTCACATCAATAATATCACCCGGTCTGCATACTTCCACCTTCGAAACAACCATCTCAACCATCTCCGTCCATCCCTCTCCCTACACTCTGTTTCCATCTTGGTCCATAGTTTGGTCATTTCTCAAATTGATTACTGTAACTCTCTCCTGTTTGGTCTGCCACAAAAATTACTCCGTAAGCTTCAAATGGTTCAAAAATCAGCTGCCAGCATTGTTACCAAAACCTCCTCATGTCACCACATCACCCCAGTTTTACAGCAACTTCACTGGTTTCCAGTCACTTTCAGAATTCAACTTAAAATCCTGGACACATTCAAGGCCATCCATAACCTCGCCCCTCCCTATCTGTCCCATCTCCTGCACGTTATCACCCATTCACGCTCCCTTCGTTCTTCCTCTTCCATCCACCTCAACGTGCCTCTCGTCCTCCTCAGCACCGTGGGACACAGAGCCTTTTCTCACTCTGCTCCCCAACTCTGGAACACTCTGCCCCCAGACATCTGTAATATCGACTCCTTCAGACCTTCAGACCTTCAAATCACAACTCACAACTCATCGGTTCAAGTTAGCCACTTTAAGGTTTTGTTATTTTCTTCTTGGTTTAGTGTTTTTAGAGTCATTTTATATTGTTTTATTTTGTGTTTTATTTTGTGTTTTTAATGTTGTGAAGTGTCCCTGGATGTCTTGAAAGGTGTTAACAAATAAAATGTATTATTATTATTATTATAAGGGACATTGACTTCTTTGTTTGTTTTTGGTCCATAGCCCTTTTTGTTTTTGCTAAATTTATTTAGCTGTAGTAGCCATCTTAAATCAGGATTACTCGAAAGTTTGGTCAGTTATAGATGTACATTCAATGGAGATTTGCTGAAAATAAAATCTGCTTTGAGGTTCACAAGATTTTTGGCTAACAAATTACGCATATAGGACTTTTTTTTGCCAGGAAGACCAGTAAAGTTAATGTAGGGTCATTGCCTTCCATCCCCATCCCAACCTCAACCTGTCCTATCTGACTTAAACTGACTCCTTGTTGACATTTTTAACGGGACACCACAGATGTTATCCGAGGGAAGTGAAGCACTTAAACTCACCCTCAGCTGGAAGAGCATCCCGTGTTGCAGCAGAGGATTTTCCCTGTGTGGATGCTGCTGCCGGTTCAGGTTCTAGCTTTACACAGGACTCCCCAGGCACATCAGCAGGGGCCTCTGCTGGAGCTTCTGAGATTTTAAGAATATTGAGAATTAAAAAGCAAATGCAAGTAAGTAACAAAGAAAAAAATAACCACAACATTCATATAATGGGAAAATATCCTACTTTTCAAACGTTTTAGTAATTACATTCATTTACAGCATTTTAAAAACTGATAAAAAAAAATCAAAATACACTTGGTGAGCATTTATGTCGGGCAGCACGGTAGTGCAGTAGGTAGAGCTGCTGCCTCTCAACGAGCAGGTCGCCCCGGTTCAAATCCCGGTCTGTGGGCCTTTCTGGGTGGAGTTTGCATGTTTTCTCCATGCGTGGGTTTTCTTTGGGCACTCCGGTTTCCTCCCACAGACCAAAAACATGCATGTTAGGCTGATTGGTAACTCTAATTTGTCCATAGGTGTGAGAGAGAGAGTGAATGGTTGTTTGTCTCGTTTGTCTCTATGTGTCCCTGTGATGGACTGGAGACCTGTCCAGGTGTCCCTGTGATGAACTTGCGATCTGTCCAGGGTGTTCCTTCTCGCACAGTGATTGTTTGACATATGCACCAGCAACCCCCACGACCCAAAAAGGAAGAAGCGGGTTAAGATAATGTATGTATGTATGTATGTATGGATGGATGGATGGATGGATGTATGGATGGACAGATGGATGGACAGATGGATGGAGCATTTATGCCAAAAATATTCCTGTTCTCTTATAACTTCTAAACAACCACATAACTTTCCGTGTGTTATCAGCTGCTCCTTGTGCCTGTCTGCAGTAAGAGTCAAGTGGTTACTCATGAGGAAATAATGCGTTGGTGTGGAGGTCAAGGTCAGCCAACAGAGAGTGAGGCCTCAGGCAGATGCAGCCACGGAGCTTGCTGCACACAACATAATATTCTGCTGTTGATTAAAGTTAACCATCCTCATCAGGACATTCAGCCAAACTGACAAAAACATCCCTCAGAGACACTTAACACAAATCTGTATTTCTGCTTTCAGTGCTCTGCTACTAGACAACATGACTGTGATTACTTGCTGGTGACAACCTTCAAAGAAACATTTGGACTTTTTGTGAGCCTGAAACGTAATGGTCAAATATTTCGCAAGTGAAGGAGCTACAAATTTAAAAAGAAACCAAACCAAAGATGCTGTTGACATTTGATGAGCAAATAACGATCAAGGTAAAGAAACATTAGGAGCATGCAGTGCCTCTGTGGTTTTATCAGTCCGGATCTCTGTTTGGTGCTGGGTAATGAGGTTCTAGGTGAGTTAGCAAAAATCCCAAATGTACAACTGCAACATCAAAGTCTCCCACCTTGCTTTGATACGACCTGCAGCTCAAACTTGACCTTTGAACCACTAGCAATCACCGCATAGATGCTGGCGTCTTCCATGGTGATAGCTTTTATAGTGAGGGAGTGCTTGTTTCCATCAGCTGTAATTACGTATTTGTCACCTCTGGTAATATCCTTTGTGTCGCGCTGCCATTTTACTTTAGCATCAAGCTTTTCAGTTTCTGCTACAAAAACCACGGAGGACCCCTCCTTGGCTTGTTGAGTCTTTGGTTTCTTGGCAAATGCTGAAACTGAAGAGGGTTGGTTCAAAATAAAAGAAAATGGTAAATAGACTGTACTTATACAGCGCCTTTCTATCTTATCAAGATACTCAAAGCTCTTTACAAAAATCTGTGCCCTCAGTCACTCATTCATACAGCATCTACTATTTCTTTACAAACAATAATCAGTGATTTATCACATTCATACACCAATGGGACACACATTAGAGGCAATGAGAGGTTCAGTGTCTTGCCCAGGGACATTTGGGCATGTGACTGCTGGTGGAATCGAACCCCCAGTTCTTGCATTGGAGGACGACTGCTCTAACCACTCAGCCACAGCTGCCCACAACACCCTTTTCTTTTCTTTTTAATACTGATTAAGTAATTATTTTGGAGTAACCAAATATTTTCATAGTCACATTAAAGATAAGAACTAAGAGCAGCAGGATTTAAGAAAAGTGTTTAACAGTTTGCAGCACACTGGGTGGGGCAAAAAACAAACTGGATTATAGGCCTTCTAGTTTCTGTTGGCAAGAGAAAATCTAATATTGAAGTTTGAAATACACAAGAACAACATCACAAAGAATGTAAAAAAAAAAGTAAAAATGAATGTTAAAAAAAAGGAGGCATTACCCACAATCTGTAGAACAGACGTTTAGGAGATTAAACAATTGCGCAGGTTAGTCATCCATCCATCCATTTTCTTCCGCTTATCCAGGGTCGGGTCGTGGGGGTAGCAGCCTAAGTAGGGAGGCCCAGACTTCCCTCTCCCCAGCCACTTGGGCCAGCTCCTCTCAGGGAATCCCAAAGTGTTCCCAGGCCAGCTGAGAAACATAGTCCCTCCAACGTGTCCTGGGTCTTCCTCTGGGTCTCCTCCCAGTGGGACATGTCCGGATCACCTCATCAGGGAGGCATCCAGGAGACATCCTAACCAGATGCCCGAGTGACCTCAACAGGCTCTTTTCGATGTGGAAAAGCAGCGGATCTACTCTTGAGTCCTCCCTGGATGACCGAGCTTCTCACCCTGTCTCTAAGGGAGAGCCCAGACACCCTGCGGAGAAAACACATTTTGGCCGCTTGTATCCACAATCTCGTTTTTTTGGTCACGACCCAAAGCTCATGACCATAGATGAGGGGTGGGCAATATGGCTCAAATATAATATCATGGCATTTCAGAGCATTCTGATAATAACGATAAATTTTGTGATGTAACAAAAAAATAAAAAAAATAAATCAATGTTACAAAATTAATTTAACATGTTGCTTTGTACTTTGTAGTATTATATAAAAACTAGCAACAAGGGTTAATTTGACTGCAATTACTTTATTTAGTGAAGTATTCAGTCTAAAAGTATAAAAATAAAAATGATTCTTCTGTTATTTAGATTGAAAAAGTCTACACAAAATATAAGTCAATAAAATCCACCACAAAACTAAAGAGCAGGTGCAGTCTCCACCCCCCCACCCCCCCACACACACACACACACACACACAAAAGAAAGCTTAAGATCTCTTGAGCATAAAGGCAACATACAACCAAAAATATGTTATGAAAAAGTTATAAAAAGTTATGTTGGTGCCAACATAACTGGTTTTTTCCACTTTGGAGTCAGCTGTTTGGGGGAAGAATCAGTTTCATGTTGTGTTTCCTTGACTGATGAAGCCTTCTGGATGGAAGGAGAAACGTTTCAGCAAAAAAAAAAAAAAAAAGGAACTGTCCAGATGACCTAACTGAAAATTGTTGGATTTTATACCTGGATTATTAAGCATGGACTTTTTTTTGGTAAATAATGAATATTCATCATACACCAAAGTTAGTCATGGAGTTCCTCAGGGTTCAGTGCTTGAGACAATACTCTTTACCTTTTCCTTGCTTCCATTAGGTAAACTTATTAAACAGCATGGGATAAATTTTCATTGTTATGCTGATGACACACAGTTATATTTGTCCATTAAAACCAATGAATCCAATCAGCTACTTAGACTACAAGCATGTCTTAAAGACATAAAAACCTGGATGACCCTTAATTTTCTCCTGTTGAACAGACAAGACTGAGGTTTTAGTTTTTGGACCTGAGCACCTTAGGAATGAATGTTTCAGTCTTTCTCCCTCCTTAGATGCATTAATCTGTCCTCCAGCTCTAATGTTAAAAATCTTGGTGTTATTTTTGATCAGGACATGTCTTTTATCCCCCACATTAAAAACGTTACTAGAACCTCCTTCTTCCACCTGCGTAATATCACTAACATTAGAAACATCTGATCTAAAGATGATGCAGAAAAACTGGTCCATGCATTTGTCACGTCTAGACTGGACTATTGCAATGGTTTATTATCTGGGTGTCCAAATACTTCTTTAAAACGTCTTCAGTTGATCCAAAATGCTGCTGCTAGAGTCTTAACTGGAGTTACTGGGAGAGATCATATCTCTCCAGTTTTAGCTTCTCTCCATTGGCTCCCTGTCAAATCCAGAATATAATTCAAAATCTTACTTCTAACCTACAAAGCTCTCAACAACCTAGCTCCATCTTATATTACAGATCTTATTGTTCCATATTTTCCTAACAGAGCACTTCACTCTCAGACTGCAGGTTTACTTGTGGTTCCTAGAGTTTCCAGCAGCAGAATGGGAGGAAGATCTTCCAGTTCTCAGGCTCCTCTCTTGTGGAACCAACTTCAAATCTCTGTCCATGAGGCTGACACATTGTCCAGTTTGAAGACTTTCCTTTTTGATAAATCCTATAGTTAGGGTCAGCTTGTTATGCTGCTATAGACTTAGACTACTAGAGGACAACCTGACCTCATTTCTTTAAATGAATTGTTAAAATTAAATAGTTTTCATTTGATACTATTTCTATCTTAACATGTGATTCTTGACCTGCCATTGTGTATCTATTCCTACCAAATCCAGCCGGTCGAAGCAGATGGTCCTCTTGTCCTGATCCTGGTTCTGCTAAAGGTTTCTTCCTCACGAGGGAGTTTTTCTTTCCACTGTCGCCTTCATGCTTGTTCAAGATGAGAGTTCAGTGATGGAGTTAAACTCAGAGCTGCTCCTCACATAAATAATGTTCAATTAATATTTTTATATATGAATGTTTCTGTTCAGTGCCCTGAGACGACTTCTGTTGAGACTTGGAGTTTTATAAATTAAATGAATTGAATTGAATTATTTTGAAGACATGTAGCAGAGTATAAGAACAGCATTTCATGTGAAAACATGAATAAATGAAAACCGATGTTAGAATTACAGCAAATTAAAGATTTCTGGACATCCTTTTTGAAAGTTTACAGATTAAATACAGCAACTCTTAATATGAGTTAATCATCTGTAAAATCTCAAACAAAACCAATACCAGACTGAACAAGCCTCATTCTGTGCTGTGTTGGGAGAAGAATTCAGTCTCCCTGTAAACCTCTTATCAACGGCTCATATGAAGCACCACCTGTTAAGTTTCCTGCTTTGTTCCTGTTGGGGGAAAACAAAATCTCAAACGAGCGCAGCGATGTTTCTCTGAACCAGTTGTCATTCTCAAAAAGGGCCCTAAAAATAGTGTAGGTGAAAGTTCTAACAGTGGTCGTGTCCAACACTCCCACCGTGTTCCAGGAACCCTGAAGTGTATGTAGGTGTCACATAGATCCCTGCTATTTCCAGGTTTGATCGTTTCATGCAGCTTTGTAAAGTGGAACAATGAATGAAGCAAATAATGACTGAATGAGCCGCCAGATGACCCATCAAGTGGGACATCTGGTGTTTGTGCTGGACGATGAATCTTCGGCTGCAGCAGGTAGAAGAGCTAAAGGATTAGCTTGACCCTATTTTTATAGATTTTGAGGCAGACAAAGAAGAATGATGTGCCCTTCCTGTTGTGGTGTCAATCATTCCTGCTGCTTAATCCGTCATACATGTAGCACCTCAAAGTTCAAGTAGGGAAAGATTTTTATGTCCCCAAGCCAAACTCCAACGATGACATTATTTTTTCATTCATGATTGGTAAAATATTGATTTCTGAAAGTGATTCAGTCTAAGTGAAAGGCCTCACACTGTCTGCACGGCATTAACAGCTGAAAGCGAAGTTCCAGGCTTGACACAGTCCTGACAGTTATCAGTCTGCTCAAATCCTTCACACAATTTGGCTATTTGGGCACCGCTGTGTCATCTGATATGAGCTGAAAGACTTCTCACACCCCGTTCAACTATTCATTCTCACTCAGCATAAAAGACGACTATGGAAAGTCATTTGCCAGAATAGAATCCCATTGGGAGGATGTTTAAAATCAGGATTGTTACGTGAAAGATGCTAGAAATGTGTCGGTGTCGAGTTCCCATCATGCACAGTTTCCACCTGGACTGTGCTGACCAGAGTTCCTGGCGTGAATGAAGTGCTTCCCACTGAAAACCCTTTGAACGTAGAACAGAGACAGCAGGTGGTGTGTTCTTATTTTTCCTTCCTGTTGCGTTGGTGAATTACCAAACAGCTTGAGTCAGCTTAACAAAAAACAAAATAATATATTTAATGTAGAAGGGCTTAAATTATATAGTAGATTTATTGCACTTAATTTACTGCATAATGAACACTTTGGTTTGGATATTATTGTAATTGTACACTTTATACATCATCCAATTTTGTGTTGGCTAAACATGTTTAAAATATTATTAAGATAAGATAAAACTTTATTGATTCCCCAGGAAATTGTAGCATGCCATGCACAAAAAATAAAATTTTCATATTTAAAATGTTTTTTTTCTCCTGTTGTTCAAATGCTGTACGCCACATTTGATTTAAAACATAATTCAAATTTTTACAAGCACAATATTTGTATTGTATTATTTTAAAGACAAACACAATGATATGCGATAAAATGTGTTTGCAAAGCTGAAGTGTTTTTTTTTTTTTTTCATTTACCCTTTATTTCTACAGGTTAGACTCATTGAGCCACAAGAACTCATTTTCAAGAGAGACCTGTTTAGGGAGCAGATGGGGGGGGGGGGGGGGGGGGTAAAGGGCCTTGTTCAGGGGCCCAGAGTGGGGCGAATGAGGGTGGAGGCAGGTGTGGGTGTTTCACCTTTTCCACCCACATTTTGATGTTGACGGTACCGGGAGGTGAACCTGGGACTTTCCGATCACAGGCCCATCTTCTAACCTCTGCGCCACCACTCCCCCGTTTGGGTGTGGTTTAAAGTTTGAGACTTCTGGCCCAATCCAACAGAAGAACTTTAACATGTATTTCAATAGAAATTTGCATTAATACTGATATTAGTATGCAGTTTAGTATAACATTTGATAATTAATGCTGAAAAACAACCCTAGTGTGACAAAAAGAATACATCTGTGATACAAAATCTATACTTGGGTTGAGATGATCTTGTGAAATGTTATATGCTAGTGAATGTTCTCCTGTGAAGTGTTATGTCTAAAACAGCTGAATAAAGACTCTTACTTGGTTTCTTAACTGGTTCCGGCATCCTGAAGGCTCTCCTCTCTTCAGCAGCGTGAATCACCGTTCCTCAACAGTCTGCTCTTCGTGTCAGGCCTCCGCTCTTTGGATCACCCAGCCCACTACCGTCTACCATTTTATTTCAAACCCAGCTCCCTCCCATCCCAGCAGTGACCTGGCCCCTCAGCTCCCCCTCGCCAAGTTTGACCTTGTGCTATATTTCACCCATCCTATCCTCGCCACCTCTGCTGAATGACAGGCCTTGAGAGCAAGGGAAAGAGATTTAGGGCAGTGGTTAAATTTAGAATGAAGAATTTAAGACATGCTCTTGTTCTCTCCTTCTACTACATCTAAAAATTAATACGTTTTTCCAAAAGAAAGGCTGAGATGTATTTTGTTTTGGCTGCTCCCTTCTTCAGGGGTCGCCACAGCAAGCCAACTCTCACAAAGACTTGGCAATAGTTATTATGCCGGGTGCCCTTCCTAACACAACCACAGACCACTGAGCTACCACAGCCCTCTGTGTGCGGCAGAGAGCTGCCATTTATGCCCCTTTTCCACCGTCACGGCGCGGGTCGGATATTTCCGGCTTGAAGCGCGTTTGAGGTCTTTCCACTGTTCCAGAAACCGGCTAGCCTCGCTAAATTCTGGCCCGGCTTCTCAAGGGTTCCGAGCGAGCCGCGCCGTGACGTCAGAAACACTGTCGGTCACTGATTGGTCGGGGGGAGGAGTCTGTGGAGTCTTTCCAAACAACCCGATCCACCATTTTTTCTCTACCGCTTGCCATTAGCGATAACACGAGGAGCGTATCTTTTGTGTATTTTGAAGCTATACAACAACAATAATATCAAAGCCATGGTCAAATGCAGAAGTGCAGGTGTTGTTGTGCTTGGTGGCCGACGAAACAAGTCAAAGCGAGCTAGATGGAGGATTGGAGGGTGGTTTGGACACAGTTACTGCTCTACTTGAATCATTTATAGAAGATGGTGAGTGTTTTCTAACTTTAAACATATTTTAAATTACTCATCCCATCGGTTCTGAACATATTTTTAACTAACAAAAGAGGCTGACGCCATAATAGTACAACGTCGGTGCTACGATGCTAAGCTAATTTGCATAAATGCTAACTGTCCTCCGGTCCCGTTTCTCACTGTATTTTATCCAGAACGTATTTCAGCGCGTGACGGTTCATCTCTAAACTCCACATTAAACCCTCCAAGCCTCCCGGCTCCTGCTCCATCAGAGGAGTCTACACCTGACAGAGCTCCATCACAGCCCAGCTGCACCTCACAGAGCAGCACAACGCTGCAGCTTCTGTGCTCGGTAA